TTTGAGAGACAACAGTGAAGCATCAGATGGCATAACCGTGCATGCGTGCTGATTCGCGAAGCTCTGTAATCTTGGGAAAAAACATGCGATGAGTAGCAGTATAGATCTCAACTCACTGATTATAGCATGATGTATCTTTTTACGAGCACCAATCGTGGACACACCGATATCCTTGAGGTTTTGCTCATCCAACAGAAGAAAAGCGTGCATGTCGATCTGTTACAAATATATTGTTTTGCTTGAATAATCGGATGCCCGAGAAGTATATTTCAGAGCTATTTCAGTTATCAACTTAGTGTCTTCTGTGAGGTGGAAGAAAATATTACTTCCGCATATGGAACAAAGATAACAAAACGCCGGAAGTAAAGCAGACATGCAAGCTTAGCTACTAAAGCATTGTCGTGCTTCTACAGATGTTTTCATCTGCGCGAACAAGCTACGAAATTATGTGAAAACATTTAAATTGTACTATGTTGCGAAATCATTGCCCCGAGAGATGAATACCCTTGTAATGTCTCCTGCAAAAGGCACCTCGATCCGCGTAGTTAGCGTTTATCGACGGTATTCGTTCCTCTACCTCGAGGAGTTTTGACGTAGATTAGATGTCGCATGCTTCGACTCTCATTTAAAACTTGCGAGTGCTTTCATGGCTCTTTTATATATTTTTCCTGCAATTTTTCTGAGCCTTTCCGCTTTCAATCCATGAAGAAGAAGTGATTGCAAAACAAATGAAGTCATTCGTTGTGCTCAAGTTGTAAACTTTTATGGGGAACGCGGACGTGAAGTAAGTTCACGACCGCTCTGATGTTCATCGCTTTTCAGCAATCTCCCACCAAAACTGTACGTAGCACGTGGTCAGCATCGCGTCATTCAGTTTTGTATGTGTAGCCGTTGATTATACATAGAACCGGGTGATACGAAATCTACGTAGCGCATATATGCCCGTCTAAAGTGCAACAAAGTAGATAAGGATGCGAAACTTTCACAGCGTTTCTCAAATTTAACAACTCTTAGATTTTATCCTAAAGTCTACACAACCGCTCAGATTTTCCCTGTCTACTATGCTTTCACGTTATGCTTCTTGTTTTCTGCCATTGCTTTGACTGCAAACAGATAACTGACTATCCATTATTAGTGCTATCCATAAGAAAAACAAGGGCCTTTTTTGCTTTTTACATTTTGATTTGAGCATACAAACAACCAATAAATTTGGCAACTGACCTCTTGTTCTCGTAATTGTGTCATATATTCACTGCAACCCAGTTGTGCAAGCACCATTGCCGGATCTACGAAAACTCGAATGTCCCACGTGAATTCCGCAACTATAGGCGAAGAGTCAAATATAGAAGTGGAGGCGGAAAATGCTGAAAATGCTATGTAGTAGTTTGCCTTTGTTGATTGAAACATGTATACTATGGTATCTTGACTTCAGAGCGCCAATAAACTTGTTATTTGTTTGCTGTTTAGAATTGGCTGATATTAGCTGGAAAAAAGACGTTTTAAGAGAGTTACGCTGGACATAGCATTCTTTTCGAAAAAAAGGCTTTGATTGGAGGAAAAGGTTTTGAAAGTGGTGAAAGAGACGAATCGAAATTAAGAAAACGCCAAATTGGGTTAGTTTATCATTCAAGAATGTTTTCAAAAATTCCTCTTACACTCACTAAGCAGTCAACCTACCAGGTCGATTTTTTCTCTCGAATACTCGATTGGCGGAATTCATCGAATTGCTGCTGAATGACCCAGAAAACTCGGACAGCTCGTCTTCTTCGCGTACGGCACACAATCCTCTTGGAGGCTAAAAACACGTAATTACAACTAACTCAATATTCGAAACAGCTTACGGTCTTAGCATCTCTGCCCAAAATTGGTCTTCCCTCTGGAACTTCATTATCTTCTGGTATGTCTAATATCCCTTTCAATAGGTCAGCCGGCAGTGAGCAGCTGAAACCGTAGCCTGCCCAGAGATCTGTTGGATATCTTGGAACTGATTTCGTGAGCGCATTATCGTCAAAGACTGCTGAAAACAAGTTTTTAGACTCAGAATAATTGCGAATGTATCTTTAAGATCCACTTCTAGAAACCTTGCGTAGCCTTCAGCAGCATCTGCTCTCGATCTGCTCTCGCTGCAACCGTCTTGTTCCACAAATCGCTGCAAGGAAGAAATACTTGATTTGTTTTTTTCCGAAAGTATACTTACTTTTTCTTGTTGTACTCCTTAGCTCCCTTCAGTATGGATGAAGCTATTGGCGAATCCAATGGGTTTGGGCTTTTTGGTGTTTCGGGAAGTGCATTAAAAAGTGAGTTCATGGGCAATACAAGCTTTTCCTCAGATGCTGAAGAAATCTCTTACACAACTCTAGTTCGCAACATTTGCTGTGTACATCAATTATTTACTACCTTGAGGTGTTTCTAATCCAGTGTATTCATTTTCCAAAAAGTTTGTTAGAGTTAATCCAAGCAGATACTCTCTCGTACGAATAACTTTCAGCATATTCTCTTCTGTAGACCGCACTGATACTGCCTTAATGAAAACATTGATGCCTTTAAGACACATATCACAGAGTATGTGTTATGTACCACTAAATCGTGTGCGTTGTTTTTCTTTTTTGAGTAAACCATCACACCAAATTCCTTTTGAGTGCTTTCAATGTCCGAGCGAAGCTCTCCCATATGCACATCAAATGATAGGACAATTGGTGACAAACCCTGTAAATGTTGAATGCGCGATACTGAAAGATCTGTACAAAAAGCAAACTGACCATTATGAATTTGCGCACTAGTAGAACACCGCTGGAAGGTCCATATATGAGAACTGGCTGAGAAGCTTCTGGAAGTTGGAGATGTACACCGAACCGCTGAGCAAGCCTATTTAGCCTAAAATTCAAAGTTGTAAGGCATGAAAGGCTAAGAGAAAATACTGTTCTGAGATTACGGATGTATACATATTAGAATTTTCCCTTCCTTTTCTGCATAGCCGAACACAGATTACGCTAAACCCAAAATACTCTATTTTCTTAGCAGGCTTCAGTTTCGCAGTGCAAAACAAAAAATTAAAATATAATATAATTCAATAGAGTAAATAAATAATAAATAATAAATAAGTAAATAAATAGATAATAAAATGAATAAATAATAAATTAAATAAAATATAATACAACTTCGCCGGGAAGTTCCCTTTCTCATCGCATTTTTTTCAAAAAAAATAAGCTCCAACCAGGATTATCATTTAGTGTTCTTTTGAAGCACCATGTCGTTTCAGAGGCGGAGGGGGATGAAGTGTAGAAATTTTTCTTGCAGTATCTTTTCATGAATCTTTTGTTTTTGGATTTCCTTGCAAAAAAAACTTGCCCCAAATTGAATATGTATGAAATAATTACAGATTTTTTGGGATAGCTAGCACTCCTCCACAATTTTTAACACAGGGCAAAAAATTGCGAAGTGAAACGCAATTTTTAAGAGCTTTTTTGGAGGTTAGCTTGTAGTGAGCGACTTAGACATTTACATGGAGCGCAAACCTTTTATTATTTGTAGGAAAAATTAATGGACAAAAGTCAAATATTCGAAAGTCAAACTTTACTCAGTTGCAAAGTCTTGCGCCAACCTAATATGAATGTGACATATTGAATGAAATTTTGTTTATTATCAGATTATGAATAGCTTGCCATAAATTGTTGGTATTGTCGGTGTTTACGTGCAAAGTCGTTATGGCATTTCACTGATTTTTGACACTTCTGAGCATGCTTAGGAGTCCATCTTTGTACTTGCCTATGCGATTCGTCTCCTTTGCGTAATGACTGCAGTATCTCCTCTTTGACAGCAAAGGTTGTGCGCACGGTCAGCGGGAACTCCTCCTGAATGATTAGAAGTTTAAGGAAGACTTTTCTAATCAGGAAAAGCAAATGTTATAAATTTCAATGTTACCGGGACGTGGAACTGTGCCATGATGACACTGATTGCTTGTAAAATGATGAGATCGTCGCCAGCATTAGCACGCAAAACACAGGAATACAGTGTTGGGGTAACGGCACGAAAAGTTAGCATAACCTGAAACTATCATTAACTGATTTATTTGTTTATAATCAAGTTCATCTTCTGCAATTTAAAAAAATGGTATTGTTAGAGAGGATTTAAACATAACACACACTCATCTCTGGGGGAAATTGCGTCACTTCTGGTTCTTTAGGAAACACCCACGGCAAGTCAAAAGTCAGCACCAGAGGCGATATGGCCTGTAAAAAGTGTTGAAGCAATCAACATTTGACATTATAGAAGCAACTTATCCGCATAAGTGTAGACAACAATGGTTAGACTTTTACAAAGTTTTCAAACCCAATAGTTAGAAATATAGTACTCACACGAAGATGTTTCCTTGCATTTTCGATGTTTTGTGGAGGACCTGAGATGGACACTTGATCGCTTTTGTTGGCTGAATCTCTATAAAGTTCTGCGTTTATCAAAAAAAA